TGTTTTCCCATTTCAGACCACATGTCATTCCCTAGAGTATCATTTCTTATGTGAAAGTTATGCATGAAAAGTCACAGGAATATGGATACAACTCAAACGAATAATCTTATTCTCAAGAGAATGACATGTTGTCTGTGTACTCCCAAGGTAAAGAGGTCTATCGTATCTTAGTTAACATATACCTTTTGCTGTTTCATGCTTTCTGTTTTTGCTTCCACGTACATTACAGGCAGTGCTGTCACCCAATCGTCCAAATGGTGTGATGTGCGGGCGCAGCCTACAGGGATGGAATTGGGGGTTTAATGGTTCCAATGCTGTATATCATGCGCTATACCCCCGTGCCTGGACAGTCTATAATCTACCTGGTCAGAACATCAGGTTGATCTGCCGGCAGGTTTCTCCTGTATTTCCACATGATTATAAGGTATGTAGGGAACTATAATGATGATGATGATGGCGATGGCGATGGCAATGGCAATGACAATGATGATGATAATGATGATGATGACAATGAAAATGATGATGGTGATGATGATGATGACGATGGTAATGATGATGATGATGATGATGATAGCGAATAATAATGAAAATAGTAACAACACAGTATAATAGACTTAGAGTTCCAGATTTACCGCTGTCTTCCTTGATTACAGACTCATTTACTTGGGCTTAGCCTCGTATCAGTGTAAGAATACACATCTTCAACAATATACATGCACTTTGAAATTCCACGGGCCTTGACTAGAACACATGAATATTCTACGCAAAATCGAGGCTAACCCTGAGCAACAGAGAACTCAAAACTGCAGTATTACTTACATTGATATAGTGCAATTCATCTCGTCATTCACTGTGCGATTTCCCCATTTGTTAAGGATTTTCCCCATTTGTACTCTAACCTGCACACCTATTTATTGCCACATAGGATACAAGTCTACCAGTAGGAGTATTCATTTGGACAATAGAGAACAACAACGATGAAGAAGTAGAGGTCGCCATTATGTTTTCATTCCAGAATGGCGACGGTAATCCGAACGACACATCCTCTGGACACTATAACGAACCTTTCAGCTCTAAAGGAGTTCACTGTAAAGTTCATCTGGAAACCAAGAATGATAAGAATCCACAGGTACGTATATATGCTGCATTTTATCAGACAAAATGGAGAACTTGCTGCCTTTTTTATGCATTTTCAGATGCCCCATCAAATCTAAGAACTCTCGCAAATTCCCGCCAAAACCACAGGGATTCCAATATAGTCTTCGGTTACTTGCACGAAACTTTTTCGTAAACGTTATTGATGACGCTATTTATTCCTTTGTTTTTGTAAGACCAATCACGTGACAACACCAAATTCCTCGGGAAAGAGTCCACTGAATCCTAGAAAACACGAAGATGCCAAACCAAGTGAGCTGTCAACGACGTGCGATGTCACAGGCGTTCTCCTTCATCATAAACACAGAAGTCAGCCATACACACTAGCTATAGCAGCCAAGGCCAAACATAAGGTATGGTCAAGAGAAAGCGACGGCAAATGATATAATTCTAAAAATAGCATCAAACGGTGCCTATGATGGTTACAAGCAAGAATACCAGATATTCCTTCTCTTAGTTCATTGTCTTGGTATGGCACAGGGTGACCACTTTGCTTGTTTTAGTTCAGTAGACAATTTTAGGTTGGCAAGAGGATTTCCAAAAATCAATTATAATATTTGCTGCATTATGGGGACATTTTGGACAAAAATTTATCTTGTAAAGCAAAAGCTAAAACTTAGGGAACAAATAATTAATAGTGACAATATTTTTCACTCAATAATATCTAATATCATTTTTAGGCTGGTAAATCTATCGTCACTGTTACCACGAAATCATCGTTTGATTCCCGTACTCCGTGTAGAAGAGTATGGGAAGACTTGATGGATGATGGTAAACTGAGCTCATCTACAGGTATGCCATCCTTGCATGCATCCATCAATATTATTAGCTATAAACACGACCCTGTTTATCGATTCATTTCAGTGTATGGTGTCATTTATTTCAGAACCGAGCGTGCGGTCACGTGCAGACCAATCGTTATGCGCTGCTGTTACGGCCACCAATACAGTCCCAGCCAAGTCCAAATCAGAACTGGAATTCTGTTTGGCGTGGGACATGCCGACAATTACCTTTGGGACCACCGGGAAGAAACACTATAGGTAATATCACATGCCAAGCTTCTTTGCCACTAGCATAGAATGATATACAGAGGAGTGATTCCGTGCCGGAGTAACGCGAACAAACTAAATTGCAATGATTATTAAGTTACTAGTGGACAAAGGTACAGTTCTGTGCTGTGCCGTGCCCGGACAGCATTCTGCTCTCCTGTAAACAAAACAACGACCTATAAACCCTCACTTTTAAAAGAATATATTTCATTTTTTATTGGCGAAAAGCTTTCCTTTAGTGCCATTCCTTTCTTTCCTGTAACACAAGAGAACTGAGTTTCATCATAAGAAAAGGAAAGAAGCTAAGTTTTTTTTAATTGACGTCTATCCCATCTTTACCCTTTTTTTTAGATTTTATACCCGTTTCTTTGGTCACCATGGGAACGCCGGTCCTGCCCTATGTAGCCATGCCCTCATCAACTATCCAGACTGGGAAGCCAAGATTGAGGCCTGGCAGAACCCCATTTTACAAGATGAGTAAGTCAATTAATAAAAATTTACATTGAGGTTATCTGGGTCGCAAAGGATGGAGGGCGCTCCTGGACAAATCGAGTTATCGCCAGCATTGCGCATGATAATAGGCCTAATCCACTGTTTCCCTATTTCAGACCAGGTGTCATTCCCTAGAGTATCATTTCTTTGTTTATTGGTCGCGCACGAGAAGACACATGAATATGGATACAACTCAAACAAAGAATCTTATTCTCAAGAGAATGACACGTGGTCTGAAATGGATAAAACGTTACGCTGAAGTGGATTCGGTCTGTTAATTGGTTTTCATGTCTTATTCTCTCCTTTTAGTTCACTTCCAAGCTGGTACAAGTCTGCTCTCTTTAACGAGCTCTACTTCGTGGCGGATGGCGGCACATTGTGGCTTGATGTTAAACAGGAATCATCAACCAAGGCAATCCCTGAAATCATTAAAAAGTTTGGTCGCTTCGCTTACTTGGAAGGTAGTATACTTTTTTGGGTTTGGATACGATCACGTGCAACAGTCACGTGATCAGCTGAGACGAGTCTGTTCATCCTAGAAAAAAAAAGCTGAAATACTTGACCTCATTTATTGCCGTGTTTTTCTTGTCATGTTATCTCTCGTTCTTACTGGGAGGGTGGAGAGAAGGGTGGGTCAGGAGGGGCTAGATTTTGTATTTCGTATAGGCTTATGTTGAAAGCCTTTTTTTATCCAAAATGTAAAACTGTGTTCCTCTCCGCCCGAAAATACTACATTCACCGCACTTGGGATAACAGTGGATCATTCTCTGCGTCCCAGCTATCCTGTGAGACTAGAATCCAATGTGTAATCAATTCCTTTCAGGTCACGAGTACAGAATGTATAACACCTATGATGTACATTTCTATGCATCTTTTGCGTTGACCATGCTTTGGCCTAAGCTACAACTAAGCCTTCAGTATGACTTGGGTAAGCCTTATGATATTAGCCATTTCGTGGTCGAGGAAAAAAACTGGATCTAATTGGCATTGCAATGCATGATGAATTGAATCGAATTGAATTGAATTAACTTTATTTATGCACGGTAAACGACTCAGTTACACTGCTTTTCAGGCGTGCCGTGCTTGCGGCAAACTCAAACTCAAATCTCCCCTAAAACGGTCCCACAATGCACTGCAATGCTAACTCGACCCAGTTTCCCCCTCGATCTTGGAATGACTATTTCACGCGTTTTGATTGGTCCAACTGAGAGTGACGTCACCTGAAGACTTTGTTTAATTCAACTTGCAGCGCAAACCGTGAATCAGACTGACAGCCAGGTGTGGATGACCATGATGAATGGACACTACTGCACGAGGAAAGTCCCTGGTTGCGTCCCTCATGATATCGGTGATCCAGGTAAGAGAACCCCATATTTTTTAGAAGCACGTGTTTGTCATTTGATTCTCTTGGGATCGTATTGCGTACAAACCTAGTCTCCTACACAGCCGCTCTTAGTGTCGTCACGCAACGTGATGGCACTTATAGCGGCTTCGTAAGAGACTAGTGCAAACCATCAATTGAATGTTCTTTGAACTTCTTTGTTATTTCGTACAGACGAGGATCCCTGGGACCGAGTGAACGCCTACCACATTCACGACACCTCCAAGTGGAAGGATCTGAACCTGAAGTTCGTTCTTCAGGTCTACAGAGATTATGTAGCTACGCATGATGTGTATTACTTGCAAGACATGTGGCCTGTTACCAAGGTAACGTTAATGAAATATGAAATATGTGTATATGTTTGTGGGGACGGTGAGGAAGATATTTGCAAATTGCAAGACATGTGGCCTGTAACAAAGGTAACGTTGATGAAACTTGAAATATCTGTAGGGGGGGGGGGAGGAACTTACGAATAGCAAGGCACGTGACCTGTTACCAAGGTAACGTTGCAGCATAAAGTTTCAGATATATGGGGGTTGAAAGCACTTGCTTAGACTTTTAACGTCGTTGATGTCGATAGGACTCACCACCACCCAAAAATGATATTTTTCTCAAAGTAAATGTTATTTTACTATTTGTTAGACTGTAATGACCAAGTCCATGACGTATGATCGGGATGGCGATGGACTGATAGAAAATTCAGGGCTTGCTGACCAGACCTACGATGCCTGGCCTGTTAGTGGACCAAGGTAGACCAATAAAAGTATTCGCTAATTCGACGCGCGCACTGAACTGAAGAAATTTTTCGAAATTTCTGAAATATTAAGCTTAAAAACTAGGAAGTTTTATAGTTGTTATAATTATTACTTAGTAAAATCCAGAATCGTATGTTAGCCTTGCTTCTTATAGCCTCTGTCGATTGTATTGATTTTCAGTGCTTACTGCGGTGGTCTTTGGTTGGCTGCCTTACGTGTAATGGCTGAGATTGCTACCATACTTGACTATCCAGAGGATCGGGACAAGTACATGGACATACTGAAGAGAGGCAAGGAGGCCTACATTAAGAAGCTATGGAATGGTAAGAAGCAGCTTGATAAAGACGTTAGGCACATGGCTCAGCGTTGTCTTAAAAAAATCTTCCCTTTGACTCCCGGCCGGGGCGTCAGGAAGATTTGCGTGTGCGGTAATACGGGTAACAAAATCGCGCAACTTGTCGCGCGACATTGTTGCGTTGAAAGTTGCAGGAAAAACGTATTATCACTCAGCGCGCAACAAATTTTTATTGTTGCATGAAGTAGAAAATCTCTACTCTTTGCAACAATTCGAATAAGGTTTAGATGGTGGTCAAGCGCGTTTCCATAACACTAAAGAAGCCACGTGCACTTTGGAAACTTTGTGTTTTCCAGTAATGTCATAGAAACACTTTAATTGACATCCACGAAAACCCTATTTTGTCGCGACGGCAAATTGCATGGTTTCCCGCGTGTGATGGGGAAGAACTGTAAGAAGGCCTGAAACGTCGCATCGCTATATCTCACTTTATAAAACTGTACGTAGTGAATTTCCTGTGGCTTTAGAAAAACTCACTGTACAGATTTTTCTTTCCTCTGCTTTGACCATGCAAACCCTGATGTTTTCAAAAGATAACCAAAAACCTTTCGTTGTGGGATTTTAATGGCTTTAATGTCTTATCGTCACCGTGGCGTGCTGTCCCTATGCAGATATTAGAGACCTTTAGCATCAGGTTTACCGCTAACAACCAGGGATCAGGCCCAGAAACACGCCCGCAAACAGATAAACACTCAACATCATTGAAATTCAATATGGCGGCTCTTTCAACTTAACGACTTCGTTATGATGCCTTGATAAATGTCGAAAGTTTGAAGGAAAACGCCCGACGTCGAACTGCAGTTTGAGGTTTGCGGTACCTAGCAAGAACGTCGTGCTAAAGGTCTCTAATGGCGCGCAAGACATCCGTCCACAATATCGATATTAATGTCACTCTGTTGTATATTTGAACCAAGGTGTGTACTATAACTATGATAGCAGTGATCATAGGTACCATAACAGTATCATGGCTGACCAGTTAGCAGGTCAGTGGTACCTACATGCCTGTGATCTTGCACAGCGTGCTGGAGATGAGGTAAGTCCTTTAAAATAATTTTTCATGATTCTCGCGTTCTGATTGGTTGAGAGCGCGTGCATTATTAGAGCACACAGCACGCGCGCGCACTTTCTGTTTCTTCGTTTGTGTCCTAAATACGGCTATTCTAATTTGTATTTTGTAATGGTTACTTGTCGTGCTTCTCATTAACACGTCTCGAGTGTTGTTTCAACCCTTGCGTGCTGCACACAGCACATGCGTGCGTTTTCGTTTTCTCCAGCACAACTATATAATGCTAATTCATTTTATAGAAATGGTTTCTAGCGCATGCGCAAACCTGCAACTTCGTTCTCGACATTCGGCGCGAAAATTTGCATCGTCTGATATATTATGTATTTTATTAGTCTAGATGTTTTATGATATATTGGAATTTTTAAAATAACATTTTAACATAATAACATAATAAATCTTGCTTTCTGATTGGTTAGTTGCGCCTGCTTTATGAGAGCACACAGCACGTGTGCACACTTTCAATTTTATCATTTGTATCCATGATTCAAAATATGAAAGGTAATGTAATTAATTTATGCTTTATAAAAAAGTGAAAACAACCTCCGATACTAATCGTGCTTCTCACTTCTCTTGTGCTCTGCAAATCTCTGCATGCTTTAAAACACAGGCGCATAAGACAGGCGCATTATATTTGCTTTCTTCAATAAACGTTCACCAATATAACATATTCCGTGTTTACCTAACCACAGGTATTTCCGTTAGAACACGTGACTAGTGTTTTACGTACCATCTTCGAAAACAATGTCATGAAATTTCAAGAAGGAACAATGGGTGCTGTGAATGGCATGCGACCTAATGGACAGGTATTTTTAGCTTGTGTTAAACGTCCGCAGCAAGTAACACGCAATGTTTGTGACTTAATATTCTTTCTTACATCAGTTGGATACGAGTAGTCTTCAAGCAGAGGAGGTTTGGACTGGAGTAACATATGCTCTCGGTGCTTCCATGATTCAAGAGGTAGGTAGACAAAATTTGCCTTCACCCTCCCATCCCCCTGATAATAATTTAGTCTTTGAAAAATTGTTAGGTTGTGACGTTTTTTCATCTCCTAAAGAAAGTAAAAGATGTTATCAATCAATTTCAAACCTTCTACAAGGTGTAACACCTCCGTGAAAATCGTCTCAAAATGCCTTTGCACACAAGTTTCAGCTATAAGTTTCAACATGTAACAGGTTTTCCTGTATTTTTAATGTTGTCTTTTCTGGATGTTACAGGGTATGGTTGAAGAGGGCTTCAAGACGGCAAGTGGAATATACAACACCTGCTTTGAAAGACTGGGCATGGGTTTCCAGACACCAGAAGCTATTGTTGCCAATGGCAACTACAGGTCACTTGGATACATGCGGCCTCTGAGTATCTGGGCCATGCAGTGGGCACTGAACAAGAAAAGTAAGAAGAAAGAACCATCAAAGGATGTTGCAATCTTCAGCACGACTTAATCACATTCATATAGCTATTGGCTAATATTGGCTTYATTTATTATTGAGCTATTTTACAGCATCTTGGGGATGGTTCGATATTTATCTTAGGGGTGGAACACGAGGGAAATGGGGAAACCTGCCAGCCATATTTACCAAAATATATGTTATCAGAGGAGGTCTTGGGATTTTGCTCAAAATGTGGGGGGGGGGGGGGGGGGGGGGGAGGGGGAACGACTCAGAATTGAAGCCTTAAAGGCACTGGTTTATACTCTCAGTACTATTTTGTATCGTATCATAAGATTCATTCTAGGAGTCTAACTAGCAATACTGGTAGGTCTCAGGACTTTGCAAATGCACCTGCTGGTGTTTTTCATACCCAGGTTAGTCATGTCTTTTATAAATCATAAGTTATTAGTCTCATTAATTTTGAATCAATTGGCAGGGGTGGATTGATTGATGGGCTGAAGTGGAACGAGCTGCCCTTTTAATAGGGGTTCTTTCAAAAGACTCTTTTGCTTTTTGCTCTTTATTTAGTTAATCTGGAAAACAGAGTTATTTGGGAAAAGATTTGTCCATAATACGATGGGATAGAAAAATGGGCATAAGAATTAATGAATCTGGAAATTTTTAACTATAAATTTCAATAGATCGTTTTTTCCAAGGTTGCATGCGCATTCAACTTGATGGGCCCCAAAATTGAAAAATGCAAATTCAGCAAAATTGAGAAGCCAGTTCTATATTCAAGAAGAGAATAATCAATTTTAGGAATTCTTTTCGAAAAAAATTTCATAGAAATGTATGATAGTTCTCATTACAAAGCTGCTGTTCTAGTATTGTGGCACGTCAAGTTTTTTAAATATGGATGCGCACCCAACCTCGAGAAAACGATCTATTTATTTTTTAATTAGGGGGATAGATGGAATTGTATGGGATAAGGTGGAATGTTAAAAATCAATTGAACTGAGATTTTCAATGACTTTTTTTATATGAATAAGATTGTAATTGAATATTGACTGATTTCTTTATGGTTTTGAAGTGGAATTTATTTATTGCAGTTCACATCTAACTTATTGGTACCATTTTTAGAAAATACTTGTTTATCATTTGAGGTGAAATATTCTATTACATACAGGCACTTGTGGCAAGGGGTCACAAGGTGTTATTGTTTTAATTACAATTGATCTAGTGCACATCGATTAAAATGGGATTGAGTCTATACTGTCACATTTACAATTTTTTTTAGCTGTATATTAAATTTTCAAATGAAATATTATTATATACATGAAAATATATTTAGATTTCTTAGGATATAATAGATATTTTCTTGCCTTGAAATGATTGACAATAGAACTTTTGTTTTTCAAATAATATATTTATTTATTATTTCATAACAATATGTGCAACTTAATTGCAATCTGCAGTTGTTTTGCACTTCTTTGTGGCTCTAAGGTAACAACAGTTAATGGTATTTAGTAAAAATGGGAAAATGTAAAGAAATAAAGAGGAAATTCTTGAAGCAAATTTTTAGTACAATAATATTAGCAAATATCTCCTGCCCCTACCCCTCCCCCTAAATTTAATACAATAATTGTTTAACAGAGGGAGTATAATTATTAAGACTTATAATTAATACCTATTCAATAGTTATTTATTGTAAATTCTTGCACATTCTGTGTGAATCTGATAAAGAATGTTCCAAAACTGGTAGTATATGAATATTACAAGGACTGCAAAAAATACATTTAAAAGTTACTTGATCGAAATCTTCTAATCTATAGAAAATGCAAATATGTCTATGACTTTATTTAAACTTTATTATTATTGTCTTACAGTTTTGCAAATAAAGAGTTATATTCGTGAGTTCAAAAAGTATTATATTCTTCATTATAATTCTTAAAATTAAGTAAAAATTATATAATTTGTCATCATCATTATTATCATCATGATTATTATTATTTTGTCATTCAGTAATTTATGCTTCAAGCTTGCATATTACACAAAGCTTGAAAAGCGTGCTCATTCATTTTCTTTCAAAAGCGTGACGTCAATCCTGTTTACAAATGTGACTGGTCTGGTATGGTCTGTCGATCATGGGAAGAGTTTGAATCAAGGTACCAGTAATCATTGCAATCCAATATTATGATAATCATATATTAGTAATGTTCCAAACTAGGGCATACATCCAGAGGTAGGCCTGTTGCTAGGACCTTGAAAGGGGAGGTTCGTTTTTCTACCAAAATTATGCCATTTCTTGAAAAACTAAAATAGCACTTAAAATTATTTCATACTCATATCATGTGCACCCACCACCCACCACCACCCACCCCTAGCGACAGGCCTGAGAGGGTTCCTAGGGTGCCTGCTTGAGTCTTCCATATGGCTAGAGTTGGGAATCCTGTGAGTGGAATCTCGGACATGCCCCTGCCTGGCTGGATAGTTTTAGCTATGCTCTCTGCTGCGCACCAGTTTTATTTCAAGCCAAACAGATACTTTTTAAAGATTTGATTTTGTGTCACTTTTTAATTGAAAATGTATATGCGGAAGCAAAACGATGCTTGTGTCAATCAGATTTGTATCTCATGCCGCCAAAACTAGTTAGTTTGGTGGAGCTGGTAGTTTCAGTTTTGTCTTAGCTAATATTTCTCAAAGGCAGATCCAGGGGATGGGGTGCACCCTCTCAAGCCCGCAAAGTTCCCTTTTTACTTTCACATGTTAAGGTGTAAGGTGGTCATAAGGTTGCCGTAAAATTCTTCCATTCAAAACAGGGCACCCCTCCCTGAAAAGAATCCTTGGTCCCCCTGTTTCCATATTCCAGACGTTTCAGTCATCATGAGGAAGTGTTTCAGATGTTTTAGACTTGCCCTGACACTATATGAAAAAAAGGAAAAACAAGCTGATTGCTGTTTGGGACTTAGCCCTGATACTTTGAGGCTACATACCACCTTGTTTCACCACTTAGTCTTACAAAATTTTTATTTAGAGCTCAGAAAAAATGCATTCAATATTCTAGGCATTTTTATGCAACCGAATGTTTATGATTAAATGAAAATAACAATTCAATAATGCATTTATCCGTTATTTCATTTTGACAAAATTTACTTTCATTGTTTAAAAAAAACCTGTTTGGGTTACCTGTGGTACATTATCAAATTTTCATAAAATAAAAAAAATTACTAAATCAGTGACTATAGAGGAATTACTTAGCTCAACTTCATGCTGAAAATTTAATTAGACTTCATTTTTTCCTACTGTTATATTTGACAATATTTACTTTACAAAGACAACCTTGAACCACCTTGCATGCCAAACATAGGAAAGAAAATTTGCATATTAATTACTAGTTCTGAAACCAAGGTTTTCACTTTGCTTCCAGCACTAGATTTTTAAATTCCCCTTTAAACGGTTTAACCCCTTCATATATTCCTGTTCCTATGAAAACAGGAATATAATAAATTAGAAACTCAAGCAGAAATTGAAATACTATGAACTTTTTAACTACACATGATTATAAATATACCCCTAATTTATGCATTCAGTAAAAACCACAAGATTTCTGTTAAAACTTAGGATTTGACTCCTTGTTTTAATAGTTTAAAAAATGTTGTGTATACATGATAAATATGGTACATTTTCAGTTTAGTTGAATATTACACTAGTGTTATTCCAAGTATCTTGATTTTTACTATACATTGTTAAATTACTTGGTCTCTATAGATAAAATGACGATTATAAGCTACAGTGTGTGATTTATACAAGCACGCAGTTATATTCTTAGTTTTCGTTTATCTAGTCGTGAAATTTAAAGATTCAAAGTAGAAAACTTAAAAGTTCATGCATGGATCTGAAAAAATAACATAATAGAACATAAAAAAATGCTGATATACAGTTTTGACGCCGAAGTTGGTGGAAATTCAACAGAAGACTCACCAACGCGTTCTTTGTAGATGATTCAAACAAAGACTTGGGCGACGCCATATTGGAACTTCCTATACCAGAAAAAAAAGCTCTAAAATCGTTGCTCTTTTAAACAACTATACAAAAATCAAAAGTTTTTCATTTTTAACATTAACTTAATAGAAAGGCGTCGACCAATTTTAGATTTCAGTAAGGTTTGTGTAAGTATAAGCGAAAAATAGTAGAAAAATCTTCCAAGATCAACGGCCATCCAAATAGCATCGTTAAGTATTTTCCATTTTGGCGCTCCTTTTTAATTCTCGTAATATACAAACGGCTCCAGGTTAGTTTTCAATATAACAGATAAATTAAAGTCACTATACTAAAAAACAGTTTTCTAGGTGTAGATGTTTCTAAGCACGTTCTCCTCGGATTCTTCTGGCGAGTTGAATGTCCTTTGGCATAATCGTTACTCGCTTGGCGTGGATGGCGCAGAGATTTGTGTCTTCAAATAACCCAACCAAATAAGCTTCGGCCGCTTCTTGTAAGGCCCCAATAGCAGCACTCTGGAAGCGTAGATCTGTCTTAAAGTCCTGTGCGATTTCTCTGACCAGACGCTGGAACGGTAATTTTCTGATCAACAGTTCGGTTGACTTCTGATAACGACGAATCTCACGAAGAGCGACTGTTCCTGGCCTGTAACGATGAGGTTTTTTGACTCCTCCTGTCGATGGAGCGCTCTTTCTTGCTGCTTTGGTGGCCAATTGTTTTCGTGGTGCCTTTCCTCCGGTTGACTTACGTGCTGTCTGCTTCGTACGAGCCATTCTTCTTCAAAATTTTGTAAAAAGTTTAAACCTTGTAGAATCAAGGAAATGCTCCTGCCTTCGAAGTTTTGGTTAAAAATAAATTAGTATATTTGATGCCAACGTGATATAAATTTATATGACGAAAGCTACACGCCTATTGGTGCACTTTCACGATACCTGATTGGTCAATTCGAAATTTTCCGCTAATCTGATTGGTGAATTTTGATCCGAAATGAACGTCAAGCTCGATCATTCATTCTGTGACTGAAATGAATTCAGCTTCTGATTTTATTTCTTTAGTTCTTTCTCTAATTTTTCAAATTTTAAAGCATCTAGATCACTTGCACGTTTAGGAAATACTCATAAGACTAAATACTACAGTTATCTTAAGAAACAATATGTAAGAAGCAAAGGTTTTTGACTGAAAATCCCTTCACTGGCCATGAAAGCTTACTTTGTTTGAAATGTAAAATGCTTACATTTAAAATTGCAAAGTTATTCGAAATAACCTTCCGAAATGATAATGGTAAGCTAAAGTAAAGGCATTTGATTAATCTACACAACTAGCATATATAATTAAACATTTTTACGCAGAAGTTTTTGAGTTGCTGGAAAACTGTGCAAAAGAATTTTACGATTTAAAGTTCACAGATGACTTAAATATTACAAGCTAAATATTTAAAAGCCATTTTCCTTCAGCAGTTGTGGTAGCAGCAACACGTGGTGAAAGTATCATTTAAACCAGCTTACTGCTTACTCCACAAAATTTCAAGCAAATATATTAAATTTGTCTTGGAAAAAAAAATGCATAAATTACCTGAAATTCTTTTTTATATCATTCACAATATTATTGTAATCCAAGTCAAATTATGAAGAGTAAGTCATGATAAATGGAAACATAAAAAGTTATCATATATTAATTTTGCAAGCTCTTTTGATGATCACTAGTAGCTGAAATTTCATACTGATTTGGACTATTGAATTGTATCACATTTATCCATCCATGACGATTTTATTAATCTAGATGTGTAAAGCCATATGGATGACTATACCTATGACTCATTAAGTGCTTTTCCTCTTGATAAGTTAATTTGGTAGTGTTTGAAAAAGTGGTACGTCTGGATAAAATGTAAATTATTTCAGATCATCATAATATACTCACAGCTCCCTCACACCAAAATACAACAGCTAGGGTTGACTGCTATTTGCAGTCCCATTAAATTTTCGAAAATATCATTCCAATTCAAGTGAGAGGCTGTTAAGTTTAAAATAAAAAGATTATGAACAAATAGAATGAAAAAATATTTTATAACCTTAAATTCATAGTCTTTTTTTAGATTTTGCTAAAATCACTGTAGTAACTATGGTTACTGAGGTCCATAATTTTTGATGGCTTTGTTTTATAAAGCAGCACAACAGCTGTTTCAGACTTGGGGGGTGGGTAATTTGATATTTTTCATTAGTAAAGTGCACTTCACCTCATTCAGTTCTCCAGTAACCTGCACGTGTTTTAGATGAGGGGAGATCTTGCAAGGTGGTGCAGGGATATGTGTGACATGTGGCATGATACATGAAAACAGCAAAATGTAGGGGAGTGACTACCAACATGTGTCACGTGGTGAAAATGACGTAAATGGTAATGAGATATTATATACATGTAGACACGTGTAGACTCAAAAAGAACCAAAAAAAGTACGATTAAAGGAGACAAGAAGATTCTATAATTTGTTAGTATCTGTGTACGT